TCTCTCTCTCTCTCTCTCTCTCTCTCTCTCTCTCTCTGTTTTTTTACATAGCCATGGAATTGAACGACACGTTCAGTCACGTTCATGTCATTCCGTTCAAAAATTGAGCCGAAAACCTGCGTTCAATGAACGCGCGGTTACACAGCACCACCCCCCAGTTCACCACTGGATTGTCTTCCTCCCATTCATAAAAAAAGCAAAAAGATGAGGTGATTGCAAGGCCCTGTTTGGAAAGCGAGTGTTAGTGGAAACAGTGAAAATGCCCCTCCGTACCTTTCTGGACCATGTGGGCTAAAGTCGAGTGTGGTATGGGTGCTGATCAACTTAGGACCTGGGAGAAAGGGCCTTGCTCCACTACTCAACGTTCTACACATTTGGATGCCTTTCTTGACCAGGTGCATTCGGAGGAGGGAAACATTTTGAATGTATCCGATTGATTATGAGCTCCAGATACATATAGTATTATGCAGTTGAGTATGGTCCTCCTTGTTATGCATTGGTGGTGCAAGCATGTGTGTTCAAGCAGGTGCTCACTGGAAGTCTGCTCGGTTGCTGCTGAATCTGTCAGTCGTCTCCATCCCTTGATGTGAGTCAGCATTATGTGGTGTGGATCTGCTTGTACTGCTTGCAGTTTCAACACTCTCTGACCTTACACAGTTCCGTCTTCCCCTGAACACAGTGTACCCCTGATCATGAATATATACAAGCTATCTTCCCAGTTCGACACACCCAGGAGGAGGGTGCGTTGTGTTAAGGGGAAGAAGGTAGTATGTCGGAAGATAGACTGAGAGCGGACAAAGTAGCAGAAAGGGCGGGAGTCTGTTCAGGGGAAGAAGGTAGTATGTTGGAAGATAGACTGAGAACGGACAAAGTTGCAGAAAGGGCCGGACTCAGCACCTCAACCCCTTCTCTTCCAAGTCGCAACACAGATGAGCAACAAGCCTAGGAATGACTAGGACGAGAGCACAACTTCTTCAGCGGGCACAAATTGTGTCCCACACACGGAACAACATGAATGGCAGTTGAACTGCTGGCTGAACTCCCTCCTCTTCACTTCCCTGAGCCACCCAAGCCTCTACTTCGATACACCCATGCTCCAACACGGAGGGCATATTTTTACTTCTCAAGCCCCTTTATCTGACTGAGCTGATTATTGGACTGGGTTAGCCGTTGGATGGGGTGGGGTCAGTGTCAGCATGAGGAATCAACCAATGTGGTACGACTATGTCATCTGTATGTGCAGGCATGGATCAGGGGCTGGCTATGCCGCTTGAGATTTAAGAAATTGAAGCAGAGGGCCCTCATTGAGAAGAGACAACATGAAAGAGCAGTGCGCCTTAAATGGTAGGGTCTCTGTTTGTTTTTTTTTGTTTTGTTTTTTAACCCCTATTGGGGGGGCTGTTGTCAGGGTAAATGGTAGGGTCTCACCTTGTCAAGGATAAGGAAAAGCAGGGTACTCTTGGTGCACACTTCTCAGGATCCAAGACCTTTTTGTTTTCTCTGGCTATTTTTTGTTTTGTTTTGTTCTGTATTTAACAGAAAAATGGGATCAAGGCCGGGGTCCTCACATTTTTTTTTATTATTATTTTTAAACGGCTGAACTGCTAGCGGTGGCGATGAGAGCATCCACCACTAGCAGCCCAGCTACTGGCTCCATTCTATTGGTGGGGAGCTGCACCTGCTGGAAACCGGGTCCAGCGTCCCTTAATACATATAAATCTGGTCCATAACTTTGCACTGGGGCCGAGCTTCGGCTGATGCTAGGAACCAGGTCCAGAGTCCCATTGGCTTTCCAAAATCCCTTGAAGCTCAAAACTACATGAAATCACCCAAATATCTACTTGAGTTAAGTTGAGTATCATGAGTTAACAGTGACTTGAAAAACATATGCAACACAAACGAGTGATACTTGAAGAGGCCAGAAACCATCCCAGCAATTGAAACTTACCCCACTCGTCCAGCAAGACTTATGAGGCCCCTTCTCCATGGTTGCTATGCTGAAAAGACGCTCAAAAGGCACCAAGCAATTACCAGTAGTTGGACCCAACCAGTCCTTTCCTGCCACTGCCACTGCCACTTCCCCACATCTTGCTACCAGGCCGCATGCTCCCACCTAGCCACAGGTTACAGGGTAGTGTTATCCACCCCAGCACTGGCCAGCGTCGTTCTGGCCTTGGCCATCCGCAGGCCACTGAAAGTGACGGCATTGGCAGCATGTCGCTTCCCCAGATCTCTCTACCAGGTCTCATACTCCCTGGTAGCTACGGGTTACAGGTCACCACCACTCACCCCAGGCAACTGACCAGCAGGTCCAGCGTCGTAATCAGATAATGATCTGTATCTAGACATCTGTTTGCGGAACATTCTCCTATCTTTTTGTCCTCTGTTTAAAGACAACATCAAGGGTGGATCCTCCGTCCAGGGGGTCAGAACATTCGGGTGTGACCTCCTGCCATTGGCGCAAACATGGTGTAATCCATACATCATTACGGTAACCCTGATGTGAGTATGCCCGAACTACTTCGGAATCAGTGATCTACAGCACTCACTAAAATGGAGATAAAGGCAAATACACTGGTAAAATTATAAAATATATATAACTTTTAAACGTGCATGGGGGGAAGTCTGGGGACAACCAGTTCAAGAAGAAGAATCAGATTGGACCATGTTAAAGAGGAATGGACAGGATCTGGAGGGCAGACAGAAGGTCACTAAGGCTAGCTCTGAGGGAGGAAAAGGATCAGCAAAGAATTTTGGAGATCTGAGGGTTGCCCCTGGTTGAAGTGAGAACCAGTTCCTGAAGGTTAGTTGGAAGTCCCTCTTTAAGGACTCTTCCTCTCTTGCCTCACCTGGCCATATCACTTCCCCCAGACATCCCGCAGCAGATCCCCCCAGCCAGTTTGTATTGAACTTTTTGATTGCTTGTGTAATGTCTTTTTCTTGGTGAGACTGCATAACTTGATTTTAATATGCGACCATTGAGCTCTCATTTCAGTTTGAATAAATTGAACCACAAGTTCTGCAATTTCAACCCCCTCTAATTTGACATCTTCCTTTTCATGGACACACCTCTTATACCACAAGGTCCTTAGGATTGCTTTACGGCCCATTTCAAAAAGGTTAGGTCCATAGGATTGCTCTACGGCCAATTTCAAAATATTTGGATTGAAAACTAGAAAGTGAGATTCCCAGAGGTTCCCATTGACCAAAAAAAAAAAAATTCCAGTTCCACGGCCAATCCAACCCCGTAAGACTTCTCCAAACCCAGTCCCATCTCCTCCAGAGAAGTACTGAACCCGGACATTACAAAAAGAGAGATGTTCAATTGTTTCTCTCATTTTTCTATTCGGAAAGGCAGATAAACAAAATTTGCACCATGGCAAAGCTAATCCTCTCTGTTCATGTGTGGAATGGTCTATGAGCCAGTCATCTGTAGGTAAACAACGACGAATAATTTGCCATTGTGGGGAAGCAAACTTGGTGGGGCATTGTCTGATATTTCTGAAAATTTTTATGTTTTATTCTATTTATATCAATATTTAAGTGTCATGCCCCCTTTCTTGCACTATCGCTGACACATCTACCTTTGGCCTGAGCAAGCGATATGCTGCCTTTACCGTTAGAGTTTGGATTGATCGTGGATTCCTTCTTTTGCTGGCCCGCCATACCCACTCCTCCGGATCCAGAGGTAATTATGGAATAGGGAGCTCCGGGTGAAATGCCCTCCACCCTTTGATTGGGGATATGGAGAGTGTTCTAATGCGGCGCATATACAAAAAGGGGAAAAATGCTACTTCATTCAATGGACATTGACTAAATAACATACTCTTGTCCATCCTAAATATACTCACTAGAGCCCCTTGTGGTAGAATGTGAACCACCTGACCCATTCTTGGTTGCTTATTTACCTCAAAAGTCATCACCCAATCCGATTCTCTAAATTTAATCCCTTTTCTCAAAAGTCTCATCCATTCCAAAGGAATAGAGAAGATCAATTGTTCTAGGTTGCAAGAGAGATCATGGGCATACCGTAGAGTCTATCTGAGCTTGTTTGTTGTCTTCCAATTTTTTGTTTTTGAATCCTAAATATCCTTCATTCTTACTACTCGCTCTTAACCCAAAGGCACCAAAGTGGACTTGAGCTATAAAAGATTCATCCATTTATGTCTGTGATTCAACGATTTCCAAACAGAGGTTGACGCAACACTTCTTGATACCTCGAAGGAAACGGCCTGTTCGGTAGCGGAAAATCTCTCCATGTTTTTACTAAAGACATTCATAGATTATCTAGGAACAGATCCTTTCGAGCAACTTCCCTCACCCCCTCCTCCCTGGAATGTTCCTGGGGTCTAGGAATACTCCAATATCTATCCTCTATCCATGATAGGGGATGAAGATCCTTTGGAGCAACAAGAGCCAGCTATGGATTTGTTCTAAAGCCAACACCACCCAAGGCTTGTCGATTGAAAACATTAACTTTTTTATCCATTGAAGTGAAAGAGTTTGGGCTTGACGCAATGGGTCTAGCAAACCCATTCCTCATCTTGTTTTAGGTTGGATTAAGGAGTTCCAAGCCACTCTTGGAATCACCCTTTCCTGTTCATGATTACCTCTTCAGAGAAGCGTTGAAACCTGTTGTTTAATGCTCTTAGTACTTCCTTTACTCATAACCCACAATGATGATTCATACCAGATGAAAGTCAATACCACATTATTAATTATCAACACCCTTCCAAAGATAGATGTATGTTTATTCTTTCGTTGGCTCATTTTTTTCAAGGTTGGTATCGAAATTCATTCATCATTATTAGATGGTTTTCCTTGGGCTGTCAGGAACACCTCTAAAATACGAATAAGAGCGTTATCTGAAACCGAATTAACTCTTGGTTGTTCCCGGGGACGCACCCCATTGTAGCGTATCCACCATCTTTGTGTCTTGCTACCCAATTGACCACCATATCTGACACTTTAAGGAATGTATTCATCAAGTTCTGAATTTCTTCCATACTTGCCTCGGATGCCTCCATCATGATTATGAGGTCATCTGCGAACATAGAACAAATTGGAATGACCTCCTTCGGGATGCCAGAGAACTGAAGACGCTTAAGGTTATGATTTTGCCCAAGATTAGCCTCTAACGCTTCCATTACGATTAAGAAAAGGAAGAGAGTTGGTGGGTCCTCTTGCCTAACCAACCTTTTCAACTTAATTTTAGGGGAAAAACTACCATTGACTTGTATTCTAGTTGTGGCGCTAGAATTAAGAATACCAACTCATTTCCGCATGTAGGGACCAAAATTCATCTTATGAAGACAAACCTCTAAAAAATGTCAATCCACATGATCATATGCTTTCTCAGAGTCTATAAATATGAAGACAACATTCTGCTTGGATTGGCGTGAAAGTTTGATCATTTCTGGTTGGGTGAAGAGGCACATAGTTTTTATTCTCAACTCCTAAAGGATGCTGGGCCCGGTTCTCAGCATGTTCGGTTTGGTTACTCCGGATAGACTGTGAGAACCCCGACCTCAATTTTCTCAAATATCAATATCTGCCTTTAAAAAAAAAAAAAAAAAAAAAAAAAAGGATGTTGTCCTGACTCCCGAATGTGCCTGTCAGGGTGCCATTGATAAAACCCGTTTGCGAAGGGTGTATGATGTCGCAATGGTTTGGCTTGGGGGCGGAGTAATTAGAAAAACATTGATGTATCAGGGGAATGGAACGGGAAGCTAGTATTTCTAATGATTATCAGGCGGCTCTTTTACGGAGCTGAAGAGGCAACCCTGTGGTTCCAGCAACAATTATGATCATTCTGGTTGTTCAAGGGACGCTGGACCCGATTTCCAGCAGGTACTGGGACGCTGGACCCGGTTTCCAGCAGGGCCCTCAGTTGTACAGGGACGCTGGACCCGATTTCCAGCAGGTGCTGCTCCCCACCAATAGATGGAGCCTTCGACACCAGGACCTGCTAAACGGAGATGCTCGTACCACCCCGGTTAGCACGACCATCTGAGACACGAAGATTAATTAAAAAAGAAAGAAAGAAAAAAAACTTTTACTCTGCCTCGATGTCTCCTTTCATGACGTGCAAGTGGGGGTTAGCGGGCCGTTATGGCACACGGGGATGTGGGAAGCTGGTGCTCAACCACAAGCAACGTGACCAGCCTTGTACTTGACTGGCACAGTAAAACGGGACCTGGAAGAACAAATAAAAGGGGTGCCCCAAAGAAAGCCAAAGTAAAGATAGTCAAGAAATGGATATAATGGATCTATTCTGGTCTATGTTGCTTGCCATAGAGATAAAACTGTTTCATTGTTGGATTGACTCATCTCAAGTGCGCTTC